ATCTGTTTGTTTTCTTGGCAGTCCAGGGTACATTCAATACTCTTCTCCAGCACCACAGCTCAAAGGCATCAATTCTCCTTCTATCCTTTCTAGTCATTGTCCAGCTCTCTGACGCATAACAAGTGATTGTAAAGACCATAGCCTGTATCAGGAGCACCTTAGTCTCCAGAGTGACACCATTGCTCTTCAGTACCCTGGAGCGGTCCCTAACAGCAGACTTTCCCATCGCAATACGTTTTTTTATTTCCTGCCTACTGGTGCCAAGAGTGCTGACCGTGGAGCCAAGTAGACTAAAGTTGTTAACAATCTCAATATCTTCTCCATCCATCCTGATGCTGCCAATTGGCCCAGTGGTGAGAATCTTTGTCTTCTTGACATTAAGCCTCAATCCGTACTGAAGGCTGCAGTCTTTGACCCTCTGCAGCAAGCATTTCAGGTCTTCCTCAGTTTCAGCAAGCAGGGTTGTGTCATCTGCATAATGCAGATTGTTAATAGATCTTCCACCAATCCTAAGTACATGCCCAAAATATGTGAGATGAAGCTTTATCATCTATGCTTCCAAGAAGCACTCTGGCTGCACTTTTTCCAAGACATAATTATTTGTTCTTTTGACCACCCATGGGTTATTCAGTACTCTTCTCTAACACCACAGTTCAAAGGCATCAATCCTTCATTATCCAGCTCTCAGATGCGTAGCAAGTGAGCAGAAAGACCTGAATCAGATGCACTTTAGTCCTCAATCTGACATCAATGCTACTCAATAATGTGGAGAGGTCCCTAACTGCAGATTTTCCTGGTACAATGCATCTCCTGATTTCCTGATTGCTGGTTTCAAGGATGGTGATGGTGATGGTGGATCCAAGTAAGATGAAGTTGTTGACAGTTCCAATCTTTTCTCTACCTAACATGATATTGCTTATCAGTTCAATGGCAAGAATTTTTGTTTTCTTGACGTTGAGATGAAATTAATATTGAAGACTATATTCCTTGATCTTCGGCAACAAACACTTCAAAACCTCTTCACATTCAGCAAGCAAGGTTATATCATCTGTACAACACAGGTAATTAATAAGTCTCCCTCTGGTCTTGATGTCACATTATTCTTCACAGAGGCGAGCTTCTCAAATAATTTGCTCAGCATCAAGATTGAATAGGTTAGAGAGAGAACACAACCTGACACACACTTTACTTAATTTTAAATATGTGGTCCTTGCTCTGTTTACACAACAGCCTCTTGGTCTAGGTATAGGTTTCACATGAGCAAAATTAAGTGCTCTGGGATTCCCATTCTTCTCAATATTAGCCATAATTTGTTGTGATCCACAGTCAAATGTCTTAGCATAGTCGATAAAGCACAAATAGACATTCTTTTGGTATTCATTACTTTCTGCCAGGATCCATTTAACAACAGTAATGATATCCCTGGTGCCACAGTCTCTTCTGGCAGTTCCCTATCTATGTACTGTTCTAGCTGTTTTTTAATGACCTCCAGCAGTATTTTGCTTACATGTGATGTTAACAGTATTGCTCGATAGTTTCCACATTGTGTTTGATCACTTTTCTTGTGAATGGGAACAAATATAGACCTCTTCCAGGCCATTTGCCAGGCAGTTGATCTCCAAATTTCCTGGCGTAGCCTGATGAGCACATTCAGAGCTGTATCTGTTAGTTGAAACAAGTCAACTGGAATCCCATGGCTTCGTGGGGCCTTGGTCTTGGTCAATGTCTTCAGTGCAGCTTCACTTTCTTCAAAATTACACAGACCAGCACAACTCTGTTTCATAAAATCTTCCCAGGGCAACGAGACCTACCTTCTGGAACCTTTGGCACCATCCCTGGACACTTAAACCAACTCTGTTCCCGAAAACGAAGTCACCCTGTA